CCAGAGAAGCTGTGGCTGCCCCATCTCCAGAAGTGCTCAAGTCCATGTTGGGCAGGGCTTGGAGCAACATGGAAGGTGTCCCTGCCCATGGCAGAAGGTGGAATGAGATGATTTATAAGGCCCATTCCAACCCAAACCATTTTGTGATTCGATGATCAAATGGTGTAGTGGGGGCAGGAGAGGGCTGTGGATAGAATGGTCTCTTGCTGCAGGCAGAATAAATATTAAAAAGGTTTAAATACCAGAAAAAAACCCCATAATCTGTTGCATTTAAATTGGGGACCACTTTTCTCGGGTGATCATTTATTGCTCGTTCATCATAATTTGAGTATTTACTGGATGGCCCCTCAGTACAGAAGAGCCGAGCCTGTGGTGCAGTCAGACCCAGCTGGAATTGTAGTGTGAGTGCAGGAAGTGCTAAAAGCACTAAAAATAACTTGGAAAACATCTCCAGTTGGCCATCCAGCAGCGGTGAGCACTTTTCATCTTGAGCTCTTTTTGCCTTGGTTGCCTTTGTTAAATGTGAGGAAAATAACCCCCAATGTACAGAAACTGTGGGCATAAATTACTGTTTGAGACACAGGAGGTCCTGAGAGGAGAAACCCCCTGAGGAAGGGGTGGCTCTGCAGTAGTTGAAGGCTCTGCAGGTGACACAGCTTCATCATGCCCTTTGCTGCTAGGGGGCCTTGTCTCTAGAAACTCGTGAACCTCAAATTCCCACCCTGATCCCTCTCCAAACCCAGCTCAGGGAGCAGATGGCACTGGCTTAGTCCCCAGCTCACATCCTTTTCTGTGTATTTCTCAGTGATGGTGAACTTTGTAAGACACTGAAGTCTTTAACCATTAGCAGGCAATAAAAAGGGGCAGTGGAGTTGGATAACACCCACTAATCCCCTTCAGGATGAACTGGAGAGAAGAGCCACTGCAAAGCTCCGGAGCTTACTCTGAGTTCTTAGGAGGCTTTGAGAATTGCATGGTGTTGGTATTTCTTGAATAAATAACCCCCAGTGGAATTTGTCAGCGAATGTGCTTCATTAATGAGACCTGAAACAAAGAGGGAGGGTGGAGAAAAGTGTTTTTGAGAGAATCAAGGCAAGTGTGGGTGATGGGAGGTGGCACAGGGCTGGGTGAGGATGGGTGCCATGGTCTGCAGCTGTGCAGGGTCAGGAAGGGAGCCCTGCTGTGCTGCACCATGCTGGACATCTGTGGTGTGAGAAGCTGATAGAAAATTGGAGTTTACTGGGTGTGTAATCAGTGGGTTTTGGTGTGGAGGGCAGTGCGTTTCATTTATCACTATCATTTGGGTGTCTGTGTGTCTGTGTGCATCTCTGGGAGCGCTGGAGAGTTAAAGAAAGAGAATATACATGTGTTCATAGACGTGCATGTGCTTGTGGACAGAATCTGGCATCGCAAATTAGGTCACTCACTCCAAAATGCCCTTTTTGATGGGCTCTGGCATCTGCTTCAGGGTGGTGAGGAATTGCCCCATCCTCTCAGGACACCAGGTGCTGAGCAATGCCTCCTTCCTGTGGTTTTGACACCTGGGGCCAGCTGGGGCCACTGACAGCTTCTCCTGGCTCCGTGGTGTGCTCAGGGCGCAGAGTGACTGCAGAGCTCGTCTTCTCCCTCCTGCCTTGTCAGAACAGATCCGGGGCTTCGTCAGTGAAATCCAACACAGATAGATGGAGAACAAGAGGAAAGAGCTGTTCTTTTGCAGGCAGCTTGTTGCTGCAGGGAAAGTGATTCATCCATCAGGGCTGGTCTGATCTGGCACCCTGGCCACAGTGGGGATGGCTGTCCCCAGCGGGCTCCGTGCAGTGGTGGCCAGATGCTGCCATCGCTCCTCAAGTGTCCCCTGCCTTGGCAGCACTGCCTTCTCTCCAGGGCTGGCTCTGGGATTTGAGAGCAGGAGTCCCACACAGGAGGCAGGGAGAGACAGGCAGGGGTCACTGCTGGAGCTGCACAGGTGGAAAGTCATCTGCTCCGTGCCACGTGTGGCCCTTGGAGGCGGGTAATTAATGATTGCGCTTCACTCCCAAAATTAAAAGGAGCCGCTGAGGCTACAGTGGCAAGGGCTTGACAGCGCCTGCCTGCAGTGGGCCTGGCTCCTCCAGCCCCTCCAGAGGCAGACAAAAGCAAAGTTTGCTCCCAGATGCTTGGAGCAAGCCTCTCATGTGCTGACATCCCCCTGTCAGGGCTCTGTTTTGAAGTGATGCTCCTCTAATCCATCGACAGCCACCGCGGAAACGATCCTGCTGATCAGCCTCCCTCCATCTGCCGGCAGCGCTGTCACCCCACTCCTCTCACAGGTGACACTCGAACACTTCCCTCTGGCTCTGCTGTCCAACCATCCAGCGAGGTTAATATTTTAATACTCTTAATGGCTCATTCCGGCTCGGCAGCCCCTGCCCGTGCTTTGTTGGGGGTCATCCATTATGCCAGGCGTGATTTTGGAGAACGGGTTTCCTGTTCTGATCCTCAGCCCCCCCGAGGGCAGAAGGTCGGTTTGTGCTTCCAAGTTTTAATTAAAGCACGATGAGCTGCCCCCGCCAGCCCCAGCCCTGGAGCACGGCGCTGTGCGGGATGAGCCGGCAGCACTACGGCTCTCGGGGGCAAACCCATCCAAGGACCCAGCCCCAGGGTCTCCTTTCCACCACCCAAAGCAGCTGTAGCTCCTCTCACCTTCTCCCTCCAAGGACATGGGAGCTGCAGGAGGGTCGTTTTGTGGCCAAATGGAGGGAGGGTGGGAGCACGGTTCTCCTCGCAGTCCACCCACGATGAGAAACCCCTTGAGAGAGCCAGATGGGGCTGAGCTTTCAGGGAGGGTGGTTGGAGGAGTTGTCATAGTTTGTTGGGTTTGGTTTTTTAAAAATAATTTTCCCCTGCATTAATAAACAGTGTTTTTTGTTAGTAAATAATATGCCCTTCCTCCCACCCCTCCATCTCTCCAGCAGAAATACGTGCCCTGATCTAATATATTCTGCCTTTCTCACTCCCTCACTTCAGAGGAACTGCAGAGCCTGGTGGGAACAGAGTGCTAATAGAAAACGGCCTCTAAAGATATTTGAAACATGACCAAGAAAGGACAGAGGGAGATTCAGCTCCAAATATTCTGGAAAATCTAGGAGATGGGCCAAGAAGGGGGGGAGAATATCAGAAGCATGATCATTAGGAGGGAAAAGTTAATTGGGAAGCATTAATTGGGGTGAGAGTGGGCAGCACAGATGTGAATTTGCAGTGATGCAGCCGGTGGCACTGTGGTGGGCACGGAGCTGCCCCGATGCTGGGGTAACTCCACCCTGACCCATGGCAAGGGAGAGCTGCCCACTGCCTCCTTCCAATTGGGGACGTGCCAATTGACTATTTCTTGCTGGCTTTATGATGTTTTCCTTGTTGAAAGTCCCAGCTTCTGGAATCCTGTGATTCCCTTGAAATCCAGAATCTGCAAGATCATGACATCAGTACTGCGTTAGGGCTTTCTTTCTTTGGGTTTGCTCTCTGAGGAGTTTCTAGCCCTCCAGCTTGCAGCAAAAAGCTCACTTATACCCTAAAGGCTCCAAAAAAAAGCAGAAAGCAGAAGGCAAGTATAGGGAAGGGGAAAAAAATCCAAAAAACCCCCCCCCAAAAAAACCAACAAGCAACAACAAACCCACCCAGCAATTGATTTATTGTTAAAATCTCATCATTTTGGTGCTAATTTCATTATATTCTTTTTTAATGCCTGACTCATGATTTTTCCAAGCGCTCGATGTTGGCAGGGCTGTGTGCGTGAGTGTGACGGTGTGTGAGCTCAGGGGCCCTCTGCTGATAGATAACATAGGGCTGCTTCCAGACAGCCCTCGAGGGCTGATGAATATTCCTCCAGCGCTGTTTCATTGCCAAGCAGACGGTTTTCAAATTAAACCCCCCTCCAAAAAAATGGGAGATTAGCACCAGGCATTGAGTCATTGTGCTGATGGGAGAGCAGGGGAGATGCTCAAGGGGAATAAACCACCCTGTGACTCCCAGCATTGCCTCAGGGAGTATTTTAAGGTCAGAGGGGTCAGTGTTTATTTGCAGCCTCCTGTGTGTAAAGATCTAATAAACAGCCTGTGCAGGTCAGGTCTGTCACCATCAGTGACTTGTTCTGTGACCTTGGGTATATCAGTTTGTCTCTCTCCTGTCAGTGAGAGGGTGACAGGGTCTGCTTCCCAGGATGGGTTGCAGGTATTGGTTAATATATAAACTGTGCTTTGGAGATGAAAAATATCTTGGAGATGCTTAAAGCTCTTGACAAGCATCTGTGTTCCTTTTGCAGGAACCCGGCAGAAGGCAAAGTGCCTGAATGCTTTGTCACAGACGAAATCTGCTGTGTATGCAGCTCTGAGAGGCAGGGCTGGGAGCTTCCCAAGGCTTCACATGGCCATGGAATTATTCCTAGGCATTTATGCTTCTTGCCTGCTTAAGAGAGGGGTGTCATGGCATGGCAGTGCCTGGGGCTTTGCACATCATGGGCTGGAGCAGAGCAACAGAGCTGTGCCCTGAATCCCCTGGAGCAAAGCACGGGGATGAGCATCCACATCCACATCCCAGCACACATGAAGCCAAGTTTCACGTGTCTTTCCAGCTTTGACAGTGTCCCTGGATGATGCATGGCGTTTGGATGCTTAGGGAAGCTTGGGCCAGCTCAGGAAGAGTTTTATGGTTTTGGATTTGCTGTTGTCTAGTGCAGGGCTGGATTCACCCACAGCTCCAGGCTACTAATAAAGTATCTCCGGGTTGCTAGTTTGCATAAAACTGATAGATAGTATCCTTGAAACCCCATAACTGGTCGGTTCTGTGAAGGATGTCAGAGTTACGCAGCAAATTTATTATATGTCATAATCACAAAGCCCTAATTTTCTTGGGAAGCTTCCTTTGGCTCCGTTTCGCTAATCAAAATGCCGGGATTTTGCCAGAGCCTCTCCCTGTGGACAGCCCTGCCCCTGCCACGTGCTCCAGCTCCCTGCCAGCCCTAACAGTGCCTTTTCTCTCCAAGGGAAGAAGCGATGCTGTCCACCTACTTCGAAACCATCAATGACTTGCTCTCCTCCTTCGGGCCGGTCCGAGACTGTTCCCGCAACAACGGTGGCTGCACCCGCAACTTCAAGTGTGTTTCGGATCGCAAGGTGGACTCCACGGGCTGTGTGGTAGGTACTGAGCCTGCTGGGCCCCAGGGGCAAGCCAGAGGGGGGGATAAGACCTGCTCCCTTTTGGGGGATGTGGTCAGGGGGATGTGTGTGCTGTTGGTGGACTTCCCCCACTGCTGGGGCCTTCATAGTGAATCACAGATCCCTTTGGAACCTCAGGGAAGCAGCCCGAGTGGGCTCAGATGAGTGAAAGAAAAGTGCTTGAGGCTGATGGTCGTTTTCCTGCTTGTCTAGAAGCATAGGTGGGAAGCTGTCTTGCTTTTTCTCCTGCCTTGTGCTTCCCAGTGTGGAAGAAAGATGAAGCATCCTCCCGTCCTCTCCGTTTTGGGGCCTCTCTGACACCCTCAGAGGTTTGATTTGTTTCTGAACCTGGTCGTGTCCTGCCAGACAATCTGCTGACTCCCAGGTTTTGCAGTCCTCCCTCCAAAAGACCTCCTAGACCCTAAACCATTCATTTTGAGCAGAGACTCTGAGTCAGAGAATCCTAGAATGGGTTGGAAGGGACCTTAAAAATCATCTTGTTACAACACCCTGCCATGGGCAGGGCACTGGACCAGGTTTCTCAGAGCCCTGTCCAACCTGGCCTTGAACACCTCCAGGGAGGTGGGAGGTGTTCCCAGCCACTCTTGCACAGAGAGGTTTTGCTGTGCTTCCAGGTGGGAGTAGCAGAGCTCAGCACCTCGCCCAGCTCTAACCCGCCTCACCTTGACAGCAAAGTCACGTCTTCCCTGTGAGTGAAGCTTTGTGTGAGTCTCGTGTGACACACAGAGACACAGGGCAGAGCCTTGGGAAGTGGGGGAAACCTGGAGCATCCCTTCTCCTCTGTCTGTTGTAGGAGTCCCTGCCTGCCAGGCAGCAGTGGTGACCCCCGAGGAGGTCAAGAGTAGTCGCCCCCCCGCCAGCCCCTCAAACACGTGCCTGCTGCTCCAAAACCCCCTGAAAACCCTCTGTCCCTTCCCCTCGTCTCACTGCAGGCAGAGCCCCCTCACCCCATCCCTCCCATCTCAGCAGAAGCAGGAGTTAAGTGTCTCTTTATTTATTGAAGATGTTTGTACACGGCAGCTGGGAAAGGTCAGGCTGGAGCTGTGCTGTCCCAGGGGGAGGCGTTTTCATTATCCCCTTCTCCGGTTGCTTGTTAAGGCCATTTAGCACGACAGCCTGATGTGTCACCAGCAACGCCTGGTGCCATCTCCCCCTTTCCTCTTCTCTCCCTTCCCTCCTTTCTTTTCCCATTGTCGTTATTTTTGTGTGTGTGTGTCCCTTTCTCTAGGCTTTTGGGGTGTTTTTCCCCCTTTTTTGTGTTGCTCTGAATGCCAGCCTGCTTCCCAGGCACTGTCAGAAGCAATCGGGGCTCTGATCGCCCCGTGCTGCTGGGAAGAAATGCCTCTTTTAAAAAGTCAGGATTTATTAAGATAGAAATTGTCAATAAATTACAGGCCTAGTGCTTGCCACGCTGGCGTGCAGAGAGGCAGAAATGGAAAACTGTGTCACTCCAGGAAAATATCCCCCTCGCTGTAATGCCTGACTTGAGGCTGTGTGCAAAGAGAATGGACTGTGTACAGTGCAGGGAGAAAAGAGGAGCAGCAGGAGCATTCTCCTGGAGTGCATCCACTCTCTGGAAGCCATGGGTGGGAGGTGACATGCAGGGACTACAGATGCCCATAATACACATCACACCAGGCTCTTGGGTCCGTGCATCCCATGGGGACAGGAGATGGCTGTGGAGATTCCCGCCTCTCCCCACTTTACTCTTCACCCCTTTTCCTCTCTACTGCAGGAGGATGAGGCTGCTCTGCCCTTTTCCACAGCTCCCAGTCATGGAGTAAATGCTCCCCCCAGCTCTCCAGTCCCAGCTTGAGGACAGCAGAGCTGAGCTGCCCAGAGGGAGTGTGGGGATGGCTGCTGCATCCCACCTCCATTCCCTGTCTCCCATCGACTGACACAGGGGCACAGTGCTCCGTTCAGCTCTCCCAGGCCAGTGCAATATTTTATACTCATCACCCGCTTGTAGGTCCCCCAGCAAAAAGCAAAGGCCTGGAGAGCACTATCCCGTGTTTCTGACTGTGCTCCATGGCTGCCCCCAGCCCTGGGTCATGCTCAGGGCACTGAGTGAGGTTTCAGGGGATGGGATTGGAGTCTCAGAGCTCTGTGCAGCCCTGGTGTGTGAGGTTGTGGCACCTTCTGCACTGCCCCTGCACTGGGCAGTACATCCCCTCCTCATCCCAGTCCTGCTCACGGAGCCTGCTGGGTGTGAGCTGAGCTTCCAGCGCGAGCAGGGGTGGGGTCACGTGCTGCAAATTTGCAGGGATGTCAGTTAGTTTTGAAGCTGAACTGCTGTGAACTCAATTTGCCAATTTGGTAAGTGCTATGGGCAATATCGGGATGTAATTTAATTAAGCTCTCCCCCTTTTATAGAGTTCAGGGAGCATTTGCGTACTAATTTTAGCACTAGGTTTGCTCCAGCTTTACTCTGGACGCAGTTTCACAAATCATGACATGTTGTTAATCTTTACCAGTCAACAGTTTATTAATTTGCTGAGGACCACAGAAGTATATAATCAGTGGTTCATCAATCAAGGCTAAATCCAACAAATGTTCCAGGCAGGTACTGAGCATAAAATATACATGCAGCCTTGTAAGCAATTAATACACCACAGAGCCGGAGCCGAGCGGCTCAACCAGGGAGCAGCACAAATCTCCAAGATTTCTTACTCCTTTTACTTAGAATCATCATCTGTTACCAGTTTCTTCATGCCCTTAATACAGCTTCCAGTAATTCTGGGAGGACTGGGATGCATTTATCTCCGGGTTTTTAGTGGCGTGGGCTCTGCCATTACCTGATTGTTCAGTCTTAAAAGGTCTCGGTTGAAATGTCGAGGGTGGATTGCTCGCAGCTCATCTGGCTGAGGGAAGTCTCCTTGGGCTGAGGGAGGAGAAGGCAGGATGTTGCTTTGCTCACTTAAAATCCTGCAGTCAAGGCATCACCTGTAAGACCCCACAGGCTCTCTGGTGGGATGCCCACCGGGAGGGGTGGCAGCTCCCTTGCTGTCATCCCTCACTTCCCATGGGACCCTTTCCTCCCCTCATCTCACGGTTTTCTGTTAGTTTTACACATACCCAGTAGATGGCATGAGTGCATAAAGGGTTTCTGCAGCTCTTTTCTCGTCGGAGGCCTTTTATTTGGGTAATTTTAATCATAGAATCATAGAATAGTTTGGGTTGGAAGGGACTTGAGAGATCATTTAGTTCTAACCTTCCCCCACCATGGGTGGGGATGCTACCCACTAGACCAGGTTGCTGAAGTGGCAACCTTGGTAAGACCTTGGCATCACTAACTGGAGCCTTGCCACAGAGCCCTAACATGATCAAACAATGCCCAAGCTCTACAAAACCAATTTCCGTGCTGCTTTTCCTTGTTGCATCCTACAATTGCTGTTGGATCTGTGGAAGCTGTGGGCATTTCCCACGAAAATAAAATCCCAGTGAGCTTCTCTGAATCTGGTAGCTCTGCAAGTGCAGTGTCTGTTCCATACAGTCTTGCAGGGATCACAGCAAACCAGGAGAAACTGTGCTGGAGGAATAAGTGAGATTGTTGCCCGTAAAGGACTGTGTGTTGTTGATCCCTTTTGCTGGCACGGTGGTAGCTGCACAACCCAGAGGGAGGATGCAGAAGGAGGGAAAGTGCTTGACACTCGTGTGTTGGTGATTTGTTATTTGAGATGAAAACCTGAGAACTGGCCCTGAGAGACTGAAGGAAACACCTGCATCATGGCTTAAATTCAGGCTTCCCCACCTGTCTCTCAGCTTGGCTTTGCTCACTGGTGCCAGTCTTCTCGTCCCCCCAAAGAGAAGGGGGGTCACTTACATCTGCTGCCCCATGGCCTTGTGCATTTTTAAGCCTGGAAAGGCAGGATTGCAGCCCCAGGAAAATAAGAGGGTTTGAAGGTTTTTAGCCCAAGGAAAGGAAGCTTTGGCCTCAGCACATGAGCTGGGTGAGGAGGTGGTCGGTTCTCTCCTGGTGCGTGTTGGGTGTCCTTGGCATCAGTGTGGGAGGAGGCAGCAGCAGGTACAGGTGTGCAGTGAAGATGTGTGTCTGAGCCCCATGGTGCCTCTCAGGATGGGGTTTCATCACTGTAGGACAACCTGGAGAAGCAGGAGGGCAGGAGCTGCCCAGCTGGGGGTGAGGAAGGCAGCTCGGGATCCCGTGCCAAGGCAGTGACAGAACTAGCCCCTTGTTTCCTTGTGGCTTTTCTGGGGCAGGTGGTGTGGTCTGATGGTTCTGCAACATCTGTGGTGCCTGGAAGATGTTGGTGAGTTAGTTCTTTAGGTCAGATGAGAGTGCCACAGAGGCCAAGGCTCTTGCAGGTGGGTGTGGAAGGGCTCGTAGCATTGCTGTGCTCCAGGATTCATCCCACCTTGGGAGAGGTGCCAGCAAGAGGTAGGAGAGTCCACCCAGCCCAGGCAGCGGGTGCTGCTGTTCTGCACAGATGTGAAATCCTGCTGATCTCCTCTCTCATAGGCTCAGGTTCCTCTGGCAGAGATTTATTTCTAATTTGAGCGAGAAAATAGCATAGTTTGCCTGCAAGGACGATGTGAGCTGTTCCTTCCCATGATGACAGGGTCAGCCCGCCAGGCAGGAGGGAGTTTGCTTGGCTCAGCAGGAAGAGCATCCACCAGAGAGGCACTTAATGAAGTTGTGGCCCACGGTGACACCGGTGCTGTGTTGGTCCCAGCCTTTTTAGACACAGAAGGAAGAGAAATTTGGCATGGTCCACACAGGTGTATAAGCCTTAGCACAGCCTGTGTGGAGTTAATCCTTCTCTTGCTCTCTTCCACATCAGAATGCTGGGCTGTTCCTCAACTGCTGAGAAGTGGCTTAATTTAGGAGTGTAACCGTTTTGGGGAGAAGTGGGATTAGAAGTGAAGGGTCAGGGCAGGTGCTGCTGCTGTGGTCTCTTCCTTCCAGCCTTCCACCCAGGGGTGGCTTGAGGACTGTGGGG